TCCTTTTAGTCTTGTCTTTCTTTTCTCAGTCCTGCAGCACAGATTTCTGGACCTGATCGATTGTCGGCTGGCTCCGACACAATATACCATACCATATGTGATGCAGCAGAGAAATTTATAACTGTAAATGACTACATTTTAAAAAGTAGAAAGATCTCAAATAGCCTAACTTTACACCGTAAGGAATTAGAAAAAGATGAGAAAACTAAATCCTAAACTAAGAGAAGAAAGGAAATAAAAATTAGACTAGAAATAAATTAAAAGGAGGATAGAAAAACAATAGAGCAAATCAACAAAATCAAAAGTTAGTTATTTGATAAAATTAACAAAATGACAAGCTTCAGCTAGACTGACTAAGAAAAAAAGACTCAAATAACTAAACTCAGAAAAAAATGGAGACATCATTATCTATTTTATAGAAATAAAAATGATTATAAGAAAACACTATGAACAATTGTATCCAACACACTGGATAAGTTGGCTGAAATAAATAAATTCCTAGAAACACATAATCTACCAAGAGTGATTCATTACAAAACAGAAAATCTGAACAAACCTATAACAAGTAAAGAGATTAAACTTGTAATCAAAATCTCCCCAAAAAAGTCCAGAACCAAATGGTGTCACTGGTGAATTTTATCAAACATTTATAGAAGAATTAACACCAATCCTTCACAAACTCCTTCAAAAAATTAAAGATAAGAGGAAACTTCTTAATTCATTCTACAAGGCCAGCATTATCCTGATACCAAAGCCATGCAAAGCTATCATAAGAAAAGAAGAGTAAAAGATTAATATCCTTTATGATATAGATGCAAAAATCTTCAATAAAATACTAGCAAACAGAATCCAGCAGCATCTGAAAGGATTATACACCAGCATCATGAGGTCTTTATTCCAGGAATGCAAAAGTGTTTCAACATAAGAAAATCAAAGATTTTAATATAGTACATTATAAAATGAAAAGAACCACATCACCATCTGAATATAGAAAAGGCATTTAATAAAATTCAACATCCTTTCATGATAAAAACAGAAAACTAGGAACAGAAGGGAACTTCCTCAACATGCTAAGAAGTTTTCACACACGTGTAAAACAAAATCTCAAAGCTAACATCATACTCAATGGTGAAAAATGGAAAGCTTCTCCACTAATATCAGGAATAAGACAAGCATGACTACTTTACTGCTACTCAACATTGTACTGGAAGTTCTAGTGAGAAAAATTAGGAGATAAAGAAAAAGTAAAAGAAAGGGAGGGAAGATAGGAGAGAAAGAAGGAAGGAAGGAGCTCAAAGACATCCAAATTAGAAAAGAAAAAGTAAAACTATATTCACAGATGGCATAATTCTATACATAGAAAATATACAGATGACAAAATCTTATAAAGAGAAAAACCTATATATAGATTCCAAAGAATCCACAAGAAAGCTACTAGAGCAAATTAATGCTATGAGGGACTTGCCCGTAATGGAAATCCTGTCTAAGCACTGACCAGTAAAGTTTGTTGTGTGTCACTGCTGTTCATGGTCATATCTTTTTCTAGATCATTCTGAAAATTCCTTACATAGACATGAACAGACCTAAATTAATAGAAGTAACATACTATGTTCATGAATTTAAAGACATAATACTATTAAGTTGGCAATTCTAGCCAAAGTAACCTACAGATGCAAAGCAACCCCTATCAAAATTCCAACAGCTTTTTTTTGCAGAAATGGGAAAGCTGATCATCAAATTCATATGGAATTGCAAGGGATCCTGAATAGCCAAAACAATACTGAAAAAGAACAATGTTGAAGGACTCATACCTCTCAATTTCAGAACTTACCACAAAGCTGCAATAATTAAAACAGTGGGGCACAGGCAAAAGGATAGATGCATGCCCAATAGAATAGAATTGAGAGTTCAGAAATAAACTCATATGGTCAACTGACTTTCAACAAGGGTGCCAAAAACATTAATGTAGAAAGAATAATTTCTATAATAAGTGGTGCTGGGACACTGGGTTTTCACATGGCAAAGAATCAAGTTGGACCCTTACCTCATGCCATTTACAAAAATTAACTGAAAATGGATCTATGACCTAAATATAAGAGCTAAACCATAAAAATCTTAGAAGAAAACATAGGAGTAATTCTTTATAACCTTGAATTTGACAGTGAATTCTTAGATATGACACCAAAAGCATGAGAAAACAAAACAAGATACATTAAAGTTCATCAAAATAAAAAATGTTTGCTCATCAGAGGATACAATCAAGAAAGTGAAAAGACAACTTACATGAGAGGCCAAAAAGATTTGCAAATATTTGCTAAGAGTTTACTAACCAGAATATAGAAAGAATTCCTACAACTCAACCCACAAAGAGACAAGCAAATCAATCAAAAAAATGGGCCAAAAGTTTGAATAGACATCTCATCAAAGCAGATATATATAAATGGCCAATAGGAACATGAAAAGATGCTCAACACCACCAGTCATTAGGGAAATATAAATCAAAACCTCAGTGAGAAATCACTTCACACCTACTAGGATGGCTACAATTAAAAACAAAGAGAAAATAACAAGGGTTTGCAAGGATATGGAGAAATTGGAACCTTCATACATTGTTGATGGGAATGTAAAGATGGGAATGTAAAATGCTGTGGAAAACAATTTAGCAGTTTCTTAAAAAGTTAAACATAGGATTGCCATATGACCCAGAAATTCTACTTGTAGGCATATACCGAAAAGAATTGAAAACAGGGACTCAAACACTTATTTGTATGCCAATGTTCACTGCAGCATTGGTCACAATAATCAAAAGGTGGAAAAAAACTAAATGTCCATCAACAAGTGAATGGATAATCAAAATGTGGTATATCCACACAGTGGAATTTTATTGAGCCATAAAAAGGAATGAAGTTCTGATACAGCCTACAACATGGATGAACTTGAAAATATTATGCTAAGTGAAATAAGTCAAACAAAAAGGACAAATACTGTATAATTCCATTTATACGAAATAACAAGAACAGGTAAATTCAGAGACAGAAAATAGATTAGAGGTTACCAGGGGCTGGG